TTTTATTTTTACCGGGATCTGCATGTCGATCAGTATCAAAAAAGTAAGTGCAGGAGTATCAAAAACGTAAGATTTGCTCTACGGACACGTACCGAATCACGTGATCCGAATTCACGTGACCCTCAATATACGTACTATCGAAGATGAATTTTTGCTCAAATTTTCTTGACAACTATCCAAAAGAAGTTATATAATTTTTTTTAAAATCAATTCTATGAATTAGTGGGATTCATTAAAAAATATTTTCATCGAATTCTATGTAGTTGGCATGGCATGTAAGGAAATAGCCATGACAAAAAATTTCTAAACTTAAATGAAAATTTCTTAGAATTCAATAGGACTTTTTTTAAAAAAATTTATCGAATTTTGTTAAGTAGTTGTTGAGAAATTTTTGTTAAAGTTTAAGAAAATTTCTGCGTCTCTTAAGAAAGTAGCTGTGGTAGAAATTTTCCTAACCTTTAAATAAAATTTTCTCGACAACTACTCAACAGAATTCGATGAATTTTTTTTTTTTTTATATTAATTATACTATTTTATAGAATTAATTTTAAGAAATTTCTATTGAATTCTGTCTAGTGTTGTGCATAATGCGTATGGAGTTTTCTAGATATTTCGGAACCTCATAATTCTGGTCCGCATTAGCAGCTAGCTGCCATAATACGGGCCAGTATTTCATAATGTGGGCCAAAAATTTCATGCGCATGAAATTTGAAAAACTCCAATTTGCCCAACTCTAATTCTGTCAGATAGTTGTCAAGAAATTTTTGTTTAAAGTTTAGAAAATTTTTGCAGTAGAAATTATCCCAAACTATGAACGGAAATTTCTCGTCAACTACTCAATGGAATTCAATGAAACCTTTTTTTAAATGAATTTTACCAATTCCTAGGGTTGATTTTAAAAAAAATTTTATCAATTAATTGCTGAGAAATTTGTTAAAAATTTAAAAAATTCAACTTCGATTGCTTACGTGCGTTGAGTGTTAATTTTTGGTAGCGTTCCCACAAAAAATTGATCACCTGTAATTTTGGCCGATCAAAATCTGATCAGGTGTAACGTGATAGTCAAAACAAACGTTTTCTAAGCAAAAAGGTCGCGTGTAAAAAAAAATCGCGTTATAGTTAAGAAAAGTGTAGGGTTAGGGTTGGTGCTATTGGTAAAATTTCACGAGGAACATTTTTAACTAGGCCGCAGAAGATAGTTTCCCAATTAAATTTAGGGTTATTCTTTTTTTATTTGTGGATTTTTACGTTACACCTGATCCTGAAATTCGATTGGCCAATATTACAGGGATGAACAATTTTTGTGGGTTGCTGACTTAGATAGCGTACCCACAAAATTGCCCCCTGTAATTTTTTACCGAGAATAAAACAGTGAAGTTTGGGTTAGTAAGCTTAGGATTAGAACAGAGTTTATATTAGTAAAATTTCACGAGCATTTTTAATTAGGCCGCAGAAGGTGGTTTCTTAATTAAAATTTCGAGGTTCTGTTTTTTGTAAAAAAAAAGAGGGTTCGCTTCGATTGTTTATGTTACACCTGATCTTTAAATTTAATGGGTCAAAAATCACGGGAGGAAACAGTTTTTGTGTGTGCGCTAGAGTAGGGTATCCAGGATTACGATGCGAGGATGGCCAAATTATGCATACGACAAATTGTAAATTATGCAAATTATGTAAGTTTTTAGCTTAAAATATGCACATATTAGGGTGTCAATCATTACTATAACATAGTGCAAGCGGCATAATGACAATTTTTTATACATCAACGACAGTGTAATAGTAAATTCAGACTGCATTCTTGAACTAACAAACCCACCCGAATCAAATCACAATTCTCAGGTTCATTTAAGCATACTCTTTAAAGCTACAACGCTTTTTTTTTTATATTTATATTTATTGTTTGAAGCATAGTGAAGAATTCAATTTCTATGCGAAATGGTCATTTTTGATACATTTTAATAAAAACATCTAAACCGTAACTTTAAATTTTTTGTCGATCACCATTACATGCAATACAATATATAGTAAGAGAAAGTTACGGTTTTTGATATATTTATTAAATAAAACATCAAAAACGACAAATTTGCGTTACAATTAAATCCTCTGCTATACTCCAAACAGTTAAGTAAATAAAAAAAACGACGTTGTCACTTTAAAGAACACACTAAAATGAACCCGATAAGTACTTGTTATCATTAATAACATGATCAATAACAACATTATTGTACATTTCTGACGTAAGAACCTAGCCATTTTCTGCATCTTATTGGGTCATTTTTAAACTTGATACACAAATTTTGTTCACCTCCAATAGGAGGTGAACAAAGTTAGTGTATCATGTATTAGAATTGACCCAATAACATGCATGAAAATGGCTAGGTACTCATAAGGAGTGTAAATAATATAATTTTATTTGTGTGTGTTTGCTGGTTCAAGAGTGGATTTTATATGTTGTAATGATTACGTATACGCTATACCACAAATTATGTAAATATTTTCTGTAAACATATTATTTTATGATTTAAAAACTGTGCAAATACTTGGATGTCTAAATAAGATATTAACATTTTTTAAATATCCATTTAGGTTTTTTATCTTGTATATTAATGTACGGTAAATGTGTACTTAGACCGCTTAAAATTGAACCAATATCATAAAAGAAAATTATTTAAAGTGCCGTTTGTCCTATCTATATAGAGTTTGGAGCCGGCTTTATTTTTCATATGCTAAACCGATTAAACCGAGTTTAACTAGCGCCGCATCATAATCCTACGCTAGGGGCTTTGAGTGTTACGTGATACTCGGCACGTGTAAATCAAGTGATCTGATACGTTCTGAATTCTAGCCAATAACAAAACTAGCTAATAAAATTTAGTTATGCCGTCGAAAGATAAGCCGATAAACATCAAAAAAAAAAAAAAACTATTAGTGAAAAAAAGAAGATATTAACAAAAATGATGATTTTATTAACTTATTTCGAATGATTAAAATAAATATCATAATGTTTGTAATATTGGATGAATAAATTTTTTGTGCAAAAAGAAAATTCTATGCTATGGTCATATATACATGTATATGTTTTCTAAAAATTTTGGTTATAAATGTTTAAATATAAATTAAGCATAAAAATTTGATGAATGAATATATATATAATACGTTAAATTGAAATTTGCTTCGGATTAAAATTTAATACTGAGTTTCATTGTGTTAGGGTAAGGATAGGTATTAGTGGCATTATATCTGGTACTAATTTTAATTTGACGTACTACATCTATATATCTATAATGCATTAAGAAACTGTCTATAATGTACGGAATAAATAATAATAATGATAATGATGATGATAATGAATAATAATAGTAATAATAATGATAATAATGAATTATAACATTAATGATGATCTAAGGTGTAGGCGTTAATGCTGAAGCAGCACAACCTGCCATACAAAGTTCCATGAGCAATGTAACACAATGCTACAACGGAAGGAGCGCCAAGTCCCGGAATAGCGGCTTTATTGAAATAAAAAAGTGTTATTACATTTATGTTGCATCGATATATTAAATATATAGAAATTTATTTTTCAGTTAAAAAAGAAACAAACCTCCTATAACTCCTGCAGCAGCATAGCATGTCACCCATCCTGAATTACATGTTGACTGGCATAAAGTATAGGTAACAGGACCAGCATTTGCAAATGATAGGACGACTAAAGCCAACAAGAAAGTCGGAATAAATTTATTCATTTTCGATATGTAATTAAGATTAAAAATTTTATATAAACGGTTGATTCTGTTTACAAGATGAAAAAAGAAATAAACATTAATAATAATGATCATGGGAAATACATTAAAAAACATTACATACAAAAAAAATTAAAATTTACATGGGATGCTGTGTCAAAGAAATTCCTAAAGTGGCTTTTTTTTCTAATGGAACTTTGATATAATTTTTTTTTTCTAGTGAAAACTTCGATGAAATTTTTTTTGCCATTAAAAGACCTTGTCAAAGAGTTTTTATACTAATTTCATCGCACATATGCACGTGCTTGTATGATACATAATCCTGTTCGATTGATACGTTGTTGAAATGAATTCGTGCTACATTTATAAGTAGCGTAGAAAATACTTAGAACAATTCTGCCAATGTTTTCTATACTACTTTAGACCATTTTTAGCTATAATGATTAAATTTAATTTTCGCACAACAGTAGCGAAGTTTCGATTCAGGGATCAGCTTTGCATGTGGCTGAAATATAAGGGCGAGCACGCCCGTTTTGGTCAGAAAATCTCTGATGATCTTGTCGTCTACGTCCGAATACCTCCGATCATGCTGGCCAATCAGATATGACATATATCACATGATTGAGACATGTCCGTGTGTATAAACATATTTCTGTATTAACTTTAATACGGAATAACAAATAAGGAAGTACATACTGTACGTACAGTACGTATATGTATGGTTACAAAATAACACCAGCGCTAAGAACTTAAAATTTCGGCTGAAACCAATTGGCTCAGTCTGGAACTTTAATTCTCATGTGAATATATCAAAACGGTCTTTAAAATTATATAGTTATGATATATGAGAGTTTTTACATACAATTAGATAGATTCTGCTTATGCGTGCTCTGTCATTCTATAATTATGACATCAAAATATACTTAACTATATAGTTTTGTATACAGACCTGTCCAACACGGAATTTTTTTTTATTAATCCATAAAAATAAGATAGAAAAACAATATTCTTAATAGAAATGAAGAACATGGAATGCTGATCAATGAAAAATGTAAAATCATAATTCTTATATGCATCATGAATAATTAAATCTATTCAATTATCATAAATAAATTATTGTATTACTCTTTCTTTTATCTCGGCTAATTTAAGTTCGATGACTAATTGTATACAGTAAAGCTGCAATATTTTAAAAAATTTTACTCACTGCAAAGTTAAAAAGACAAACAAAATTGCCGACACTTGTTTTTTTGCATGAACAATATTACATTGATTAAATAATGATTAAGAGATAATTTATTGGAATTAAAAAGCAATGCATTTCGGAAACAAGATAAAATAAGAAATTACAATTTCGAATGACAAATAAAAGGAATCGAAATGGGAGAGTCCGGAAGGAGAATAGAGACACCCATTTCACAAAGTAAAATTTTAATATGTTTATAAATATTTTATATATGACATAATCATCATAAGTACCGTACTGCACGGATTTTTTTACATAATAAAAAAATATATAAATGATTATACAAATAATACCAAACTAAAACAAATTACTGTAGTAAATAGTTATTCCGAGCTAGAGACGTAAACCGGTTCGAACGGCTTGTATGTTAATTTCCGGAACAGAGTGGATAATCTTAAATTCAAAAAAATTTTCCGTATAGGTTCAAATTCCGTCAACAAGGGTATAGGATATATAAGTCCGCTATGGTAATCGATCTTAATCCGGAAAATGTGAGCCACAGTGGTTAGCGCTAACGATAATATAACGATAAGGGATAAATTCCAATATTGTATACTTATTTACATTGTTATCATATAAAATTGTATTTCCGTTCTTTTACTTTTTCTTTTGTTTTTCAATTGTTAATTATCTATGTTAATTCTTGTTCTTCAAATATTTTTATTTGAAAAAAAATTCGTTAAAATGGAAAGATTAATAGCTAGTCCATTAACAATGATAAAAATTCATATTTTTATAAGATTTAAAGTGTTAGACATCAACGAGAAATCCAGAAGCTAGATATTAAATTGCTATGAAAATTTTGAGCTTCCACGATCAACCCGAATCAATTATTGTCATTTATTTTACATAAAGTAAGAATGGCGAAATGACATTTTCACCAAAAAAAAATCATTTTGATCCAGATCTTCGGGAGAATTTAATTTTTATCAAGCCACTAAAGCGCCTCAACCTGGTCCACAATTTCCGAATGCAATCGATCTTGGTAAATTCTTAGCTCCAGGTTCTAATTTAGCAACTCATTTATTATTTACCAGACCACATTATATCATGGTTTACATTGCAATAACTCTTGGAGTTTAATTTTAATTACGAACAGGGTTAAACTTTAAGTACAGAAGATAACGTTCAGTGTCTCTTCAAAACAGATCTTTAAACTTTATTTCACGCTTATTAAATGGTGTATTCTTGATTTTATTATTAAACTCGCAATGTGTGTTATTTTAATAGAAATGAAATGTGGAGCGATGTTGCGAAAATCAATGGAAGTCATAATAAGAATCTAATCATATAAAAGCTACGAGCTGATTTTCATCTCTTTCCAATAAAATACGTCATGTCACCTAATTCAATTGGAACAGATTCTCTAAAGCCAGCTCAGAACTCCTATTGAGGTCATCTTTACTACGATCAAATGTTTAACAGTCAAACTAAAATGTCTAATTTAATATTTCTTTTATGCTATGTGATTATAAATAAAACGCAAAATTCTAAAGGATTCATCTGATAAATAAACTTATCCTTTTAATTGTTTCGATTGGAAACTTTTACGCAAAATCACTTCAACAAATTACAAGTTTTTAATTATGCATATTCGAATTTTTTTATAAAGTATTGTACTTTTTATTAACCAAAACGCTCAAAGAGTTGTACAATGAGTTGAATCATTTTTAAATAGAAAAGATCAAAATTGGTTATAACTTTTCAGATTAAATAAAGGGATGTCAACAAAAAGCAAAATATATAAACAATCCAATTTCAACGGTTAAAATATTTTGATAGTAAACGTGAAAATAAATCAAATAATATTCCAAATATTTATTTGAGCGCGAAAATAATGTAATAATAAAGAATGAAATTTAATAGCTAGCTGATATAATATGATTCATATATGTCGACTGATATAAGAAATATTAGTGTTGCAGGTGAAACTAATTTTGAGTTTCACCATAGTTTCAACCCGAATTTCTCATTACTATTATTTAGTTTCAAAAGTTTCACCTGCAACTCTGAGAGTATATTTGATGACGAAAATAAAATAATAGTCCAAATATAAAATGGACTGTTAAGTATACTTTAAAGAAACCATTTCGAAATACTAAATTCAAATGAAACAATGTCGAAATTACGGTGTTGGAGCCAAAAAAGACGCGGCACAAGCCGCCATACAAGCACCTTGCCCCACATTACACAGAATCGCGGCAGCTGGTGCACCAAGGCCTCCAGTTACAGTTCCTTTGTAAATGTATAGAAAGTCATCACTTTAGTATCGTGATATTAATATGAAACCTTTATTTATCAGCCAAAAAAAATAGTTTACAAACCTGCTACTAATCCTGCGGCAGCATAACACGAGACCCATCCCGCGTTACATGCAGTTTGGCATAGAACATACGTTAAAGGGCCTGCATCAGCCATAGATGAAAGTAGTAGAACCAAAAAAACGGCTACGATTAATTGTCTGTTCATTTTCGCACTTTATTAATATAGGTTTAATACTGTTAACATAGATAAGAGAATTAAATATTTAAATATAAGATATTAAAATTCATTAAGTGCAAGGAATTATAAATTACTTTGAAGTTAATGAGTGTTATTCGTTAAAAAGTTCCGTTGAGAATTATTGATGAAAAGGTTGAGAATTATCATTTATATACTTTTCGTGAAATATCTGCGTCATGACATGACTAAGGAAATTAATGTTTACCTGCTACATATGTACGACGTAGACAAAAGAATTAGCCAAGAAAAATAAATTATACTATTCCAGGAAACAATAACATGATGGTATAAACTCAAAAAAAAGGAAAAAATATGAAAATAAAAATTAACCCAGCGCTTTAGAGTTGGGATTATTATTAGAAGTTATAAAATTATATGTAAATCTTTACTCTCATCGCCCCACATGGTAAATTTAATCATGTATTTTTATTTTTTATCGTTTTATCTGGTCAGCCATTTTTACGTATATCACTCATTCAAATAAATGAATGTAACACTAATAGTTACCTTTATTAGATACAATGACATTCGTATGTGTGACATACGGCTTGTTCGCAATTTCCATCAAGAATGTAACAACTCCGAATAACAAAGTCATTTTTTTAGGATATTCTTTATAGAAGTGTCTCAAATGATTGAACGAATTTATTTTGCTATGAAAAATACGTTATCAATGTTGCATTTTTCTAGAATATTGTAGTTTAACTTTTAGAGAAAAATTCATTCGCTTTTAAATTTTCACGATGTTATTTTTTTTTTTTTTTTTTAGGAATTAATGTCATTAATGTATTTGTGAGTAGTACTGTATTTGAATTTATTGTACAGGTCTTATGTGACAACCCGTGCATTTTCGTTTACTTATTGGCACGGGTTGTTACGTCAGACACCGTACAATAAGATAGTTATTATGTTGAATAACCCAGTTATACACACGGGTTCATATTTTAATCCCGTGCCTTCGGCACGGAATATGAACCCGCGTGTAACTGGGTTATTCATTACATACCCATACAATAACTATAATGTATGTTCTATAAAATAAAATTAGTGAAATTTATGCTTGCGATTAATATTCATCCAGGGCGAAGTAGATTAAATTGTCACGGCAGATCCTCAATTTTGATTGGCTAACTGCCGTGATCTGCAAATTTTTTGGCCTCGAATTTTTTGATTTTTTCATTACAAAAATAAAAAACAAGCCCGCGTTTTGTAAAATTGGCCCAGAAACAATTTTAACTTAATAGGCGGTTGCGATTTCATTAGTAAAATTACGATCTACCCTGTAAAAAACACATTCCGGAATATTTTCATAATTCTGACCTTGAATCCGTGAAACTTCCATATATATTATGAAAGTGGTAATCCACAATACAATATAAAATGTAGAGTTCGTAAAAAATTTGGCATGCCCATCTGATATCACGTGACTATAGTTGTTAGACGAAACCTTTTTTGCTTGGTGACGAAAGACGAAACCTATGCCCCAAAATGACGAAACCACTGACGAAAGACGAAACCTAAATTCAAAATGACGAAACCTTAGTGCTTCCACTAAAAACCCTTAGGCTCCCGCTAAAAAAAAAAAAAAAAACTGGATCAATGAAACTTTAAACTTTATGATAATAGTGAATCCCTACTTCTCCTGCTAAAAAATTACTATTGAAATTTTGGTTTTGATGAAGCTATAATAAAAATAATAAGATTATCTCTATAATTTTAGATATTTAACCCGTCGATAAATCATTAATGAGGCTTTTTATTTATATTTAATACTAAAGATGTTTATTGACTTGTACGTATATTTAGGTTTTAAAAAGCCAATTACAGAAATCATAAATAGCAAATAAGCCATTCAATGTTTAATGCCGAAGATGTTTATTGGCTTGACCCGGCTTGTATATTTAGGTTTTGGAAAGCCAATTACAGAAATTTTATAATTGAAGATCTGAAAACAATGTATGTAGTACCTCTTATTAATTTTTATTATCTGTACTAATTTATTAATAAAAGTCTTTTATTGATTTAGCCAATAGGATATCAATATACAAAAATATGTTGAATAATCTTAATTGTGTTAATTTACTTAATTAATAAATTACTTCTTAAGTTACTTATTATAATAGATATAATTGTATGTTTTAAATTTAGTCTTATATAAACATAAATGTAGAAGTCAGTGGCGCCCTTACTTACACTTGCTTCTGTTTCTCATCTTTTATTAGTTTCGTACCCTTTGCAGTTTCATCAGTTT